AAACAAGCCTAAGTCATTTATTTGACATGTTCTTTAACGTTCCCAGAATTCACTTTGACAACTATTGTGAAATGCTAGCGCTCTAACCTGACCCACGCGGGTCAAGTTAGGAAACCACCATTTTATTCTTTATATGGAGAAAAGTGTTCCTTTGACTGTCTAAAGTATTCATTTTGAGGGCATTTACAGAGTAATGAATGAAAAATTCAAAACTAAGAAATGAAAATTTTGCCTGTGTCTCCCTTTAAATAGAATATAATCTGTTTCAATATGGTTTATGCATTGAAAAAAAAGCTTAGAATATGGTCGGGTAGGTATCATAAAATCTTTTGAAATAAGAATAGTCAAAATTAAAACTTTAGATCTACATATTGGAAAGTGTTGTGTTTTCAAGCGTCAATCTCACGGAGTTTAATATAAATCCGTGGTCAATCTGAAGTCTTGCAAATTATTTAGCGGCTATTATTGGATGATCAGCCCTGGTTATGTCTAGTTACAATCAGGTAATGTACGAGTTCTCTAATATGACCAATAAACGTTACATATGTATAATACATCAGGTGCTCCTTCATTTTAACAGTATGGCACAAATGACACCCGCCCAATATAAAGAATCCCAAACCATCCATATGCTATGATAATGTATTATGTCCAAGTTACAACAGAATATCTTTGGAGAAAGAAACATAGTCATTTAACAACTTTATTGAATTTGAAAACGTCTGTTTATTGAATATTCATAAAATATTACACATTACATCATGTAAGAATTACAGTATATGCAAGGTTTATACATTGTGAAACATTTAAATTTCTAGAATATCATATTGCTGATATATATAGCAAATAAACCCTATATATTGCATAAAAGTCCTCGATGTCGCTTGTGCTGCAGTACAAAATGCATATTTTTCAAATATTTTTTTTAACAATCAAAGTGCTCACATACTCTACTTACAAACCATGTGACTTTTGGACAAAAACACAGGGTTTAACAAGACCGGTCTGTGGACATGCTTCTTGATAGTAAAATAAAAAGCGAAATAAAAAATCTGCAAATGTAATTAGCAGGACTGACTGAACTAATTAGCAAACAAATATTCTTAATAAAGAACGGAAATAAATAGATAAGCAAAACATATGCATATATAAGAAAAACCTATGATCCCCGGGGCGGGGCCAATTTTGACCCCAGGGCTATATTGGAACAATCTTGGTAGAGTTCTATCACACAATGCTTCATGCTAAATATCTAACCTCTAGCCTCTGTCAATTCAGAGAAGATTTTTAAGTTTTTACTTAAAACCTATTACCCCTGTGCAGGGCCTATTTTGACACTAGGGCCACAACTTTCATAGAGGACCCATAGATACTATATACCAAATATCTAAGCCCTATGCATTGTACTTTCAGACAAGAAGATTTTACTTCATACATACTCGTATAAGGAAAACCTATGACCCCCGGGGCAAGGCCAATTTTGAACCTAGGGCTATAATTTGAACAATCTTGGTAGAGTTCCTGATCTTGTGAGAATGTGTTACGAAAAAGTGAAAGGATGAACAGTGTTTTACAAAAGAAGCGTATTATAAACAGTAAAAGGCAGGCAAAAAAATCTTAAACACATCTTAACCTCTTCTAAGTTCGACATGAAAAATAATATTACTATAGCGACAGTTTCTAAATGCAACAGGAGTAGTTGTCAGACATGTCCTTAAATTGGAGGAAATGAAATTCAATATTGTAACAGTAAGACATTTAAAATTAAACAAAGTATGAATTGTGTTTCAAAACACAACTTTTGTGACAACTTAAAGCAATTTTATATTGGCCAAACAAAAACGCAGTCTGAATGACAGCTAACCCCTTCCGCAGTGAACATGAATTTGTACTTCTTGACCTTTTGCCAACCATGACCTTGATGTTGTACCATGCATACCATTAGCACATAGTCTCACGATGGTGTTTATTTGTGCCAAGTTATTTAAAACCTTCCACAAGTTAAAAGGTTATGGAGAACATATAACCTTCACCTTGGGGTAGCAACCTGGATGTTGAGCTCTGCAGAGTGTGTCATGGTGTGGATCATTTGTGCCAAGTAATTTAAAAACCTTTGAATTGTCAGTAAGTTATAGAGCGGACATGAAAACTAGATGCTTTTACACTGGACCTTTGAGTGTGACCTTGACCTTCAAGGTGACTTGATTATTGTGCTCTTCCAATAGTGTCATTATGGTGATCATTTCTGCCAAGTTATCTTAAAACATTGCAGAGGTTTAAATGTTATGGACAAATACGAAATGTAGACTTTCTAACATTTGACATTTAAGTGTGACCTTGACCTTTGGGGTAGCAACCCAATTATTGCGCTCTGCACATCGTCTCATAAAGGTGAACACTGTTGTCTAGTAAATCATAAAAGTTTTCAGCGGTTTAAAAGTTATTAAGCAGACACAAAATGTAGAATTTTAACATTTGACCTTAAAATGTGACCTTGACCTTTTGGGTAGCAACCCAATTATTGCCCTCTGCTATCATCTCATAATGGTGATCAGTTGTGCCAAGATATTTTAAACAAGAGGGCTATGATGGCCCTGAAATCGCTCACCTGTATATAGGCTGCTGGGGCGGGCCAGTTTTAACCCAGGGGCTTTTATTTAAACACCCATTAGAAGATAAAGTTTTAACTTTACACATATAGGGAAAAACAATGAATTACATCCCAATTTTGACCCTAGGGCTTTTATTTAAACAAACTTGGTAGACACTCACAAGAAGATATTTCATGCTTAGTATCTAAACTCTAGCTCTTGAGGTCATTTAAGAGAAGGCTTTTCTAAGTTTTTTTTACTATACACATACAAGGAAAATCAATTTTAACCCCAGGGATTTTATGTGAACAAACCTAGTAGACACACATTAGAAGATGTTTCATGCTTAATATCTTAGCTCTAGCTCTTTAGGATTTTTAAAAGAAGATTTTTAAAGTTTTACTATATACATATAAGGAATATATATGACCCCCCCCCCAAGGGCGGGCCAATTTTGACCCCAGGGCTTTTATTTGAACAAACTTGGTAGACACCCATTAGAACATGTTTCATGCTAAATATCTTAGCTCTAGCTCTTTGAGTTCTTTAAAAGAAGATTTCTTAAGTTTTTACTATATGCATATAGGGAAAATCAATAACCCCGGGGCAGGGCCAGTTTTGACCCCAGGGATTTTATTTGAACAAACTTGGTAGACACTGACTTGACGATGTTTCATGCAAAATATAGATCTTATATCTTAATACCCAAAATAGACCATGGGTAATGGACACCATAAGGAACTGTAAAATTGACAGCATAGGACAGTTATATGTCTTCAAGGTCACCTGTGTGCAAAATTTAAATAAAATTTACCGTGTGGTTTATGAGTTATAGATATATTTCTAAACTAAGACTTTGCCATTAGAAGGGCTTATTTTTAGAAATGAGGAATCTGTAAATAATCTGTAATATCATCATTATAAAAAATGTTTTTCTATTGCTCATTGTAAAGAAACAAATAATAACATTCAGGTAACACATTACACAAGCAAAATGTTTGTTTCTAAACAAAATGTTCTTAATATGTATAAAAAAGTTACCCTACCCCACCCACTTTTAACACTAATTTTACCATTTCCCTATCTAAAATGCCTTATTCAAAATATCCCTAAAATTCATCGAAATGAGGGTCTGTTTTCAAAGTTTGCCTAAATTTTCTCAAAGGTATATTAGTTGATCATGCGAAATATAAAATACTTTTACCGTGTAGTTTTTATTTTATCGAACTTTGAAAATATCTGGTATCATATTTGCTATAAATTTTGGCATTATTTAGCAAAAAAAAATACCTAAAATAATTATATAATTTAAATCAAACTTTTTTTCTTCCATAAGGGATCAGAGAGATACATAAATAATGTTAAAAAGAAAAAAAGGAAAGAAAAAAAAGTTGCCATTTCTGGGGTTTGAACCCACGCCCCTCAATTTCAATGTAGTTTACAAGGGATTCTAGCCTATTTGAATACTCTTCAAAGTGGAGGTAATGCATTACCCATGGTCTACCTTAAGTGTGACCAGGTAGCAACCCAATTATTAAGCTCTGCACATCGTCTCATTATGGTGATCACTTGTGCCAAGTTATTTTAAGAAATTTTCAGCGTTTTAAAAGTTATGGAGCGAACATGAAAATGTTACGGACAGACTGGCAGACAGATTATTTAACGGGACAGTAATAATGTGGCTACTCTATTTTTCTTTTTAGCCACACAAAAGAAAATAGGCACATAAAAGCATTACGGAATGGATGACATCAAAGAGAAAGAACAGCTAGTTACCTATTGTCCCTCTAGCCACATAATTACTGTCCCGTGAGAGCGGACAGACTGACGGAATGACAGAAGGCCATTGCTAAAATCTCCTTTCCGCTACGCGGATGGGGATTAATGTAAACGTATGACTTTAGTTTACATAGGCAACAAACAAACACAGAATAAGTCAATAAACATATAAATGTTCAGGCAGAAAATTTAGCATTTTCCCTCTCTACAATTTACTAAGCAATAGTGACTATTTTAGAGACGATAATGAAAGGCATCTTATCCAATTGTTAAAACCACAGCTTAATGCTCAGTCATAAAGTTTGTTTAACAAGTTATTTATATATAAGTACATCATATTTATTTCAGTCTTTTCATTTTTAATTATATAAGAAACGTTTGCATATTTATTCAATCATATTGTTCGTTTATTAACCAATACTTATTCAGTAAAAATTGTTAGTTACCACACAATTTGTGGCCATATAATACATGTTATTAACATGTTGACTTTGTTTCCCGCTTTTGATAAATGTCATTAATTAACTGCCAGATTGTATGGATAATGGGATAATGCTTAAGGTCCGTAATATGATATAAATTAATTTTTTCACGACTTCAAAGTTTTGGCTGATGCTAAGAAAGCATTGAAAACATTTTTATTTTATCTATATGTATATCAAAGCTCTGGGCCTTGTACTTTCAGACAAAAAGAGTTTTAAAGTTTGCATTTTGAACTCAATTAATAATAATAAATTAATAAATAAATAATTATTCATGTAAAGTTTGGTTACTGTGCAGTCATTGGAGATGTTGTTTAAAGACATTATTAACGACACACGATGACAGACGGGGAATCACAATAGCTTACCATGAGCATGTTGTGGTCATGTGAGTTAAAAACTTGAGCTAAAAATGGAATGTCCAAGATGTATTCCAAGTTTGAAGCGAATAACTTTGATAGTTTCTCAGTATATGGACCGTTGCAACATAGGCCCGATGGCAAATTTTACTTGGAAAGATGAACTCCTTAAAATGCCATATGGTCATGACGAGTACAGTTTTCCTTAAAAATCCATATAGATATGGTAAAGTAGAGTACATATGTTTGATTTTTTTATTTGATAACCTAACAAGGGCGATCAGTGATGTCACATATTCACATTTGTCGCCTAATGATAGTCAATTAAGCACTGGTATAGAGAAGTGACTGGACAGTTTGTTCGCTGTATGTCGCTGATACTTTGTAACATGTTGCAGCTTCTGTGTAGCAGGAGACACAATAATCATTAACAGGCCAAAACACATTTATTATTCAAGGGCAATAACTCAGCCAAAATTCATTCAACCTGAAAACCCGTTAAAAATGCACAAATACTTGAGCTACCAATTAATCATTTAATGTTTCACTCAAATTGCTTCAGTTATCATTAAATAGAAGTAGTCAAGACAGGGCCACATATCTAACGATAATTTTTAAATGGAACTAGAAATGTGTCCATAGGACACGGATGCCTCCACACGCCACTGTTCTGTCCATCTTATGACTCTAGGTCAAATATTTTTTGAACTACATGTGCCACAAGTTGAAAACTAAAAATCAACAAAGGGCCATAATTCTGTTAAATTTGGTCGCAGCAAAAATTCCTTCCTTTACTACCATCTACACATTAAGGTTGTTAATCCCTGGAAGTTTAAGCAAAATCTGCCATCCGGTTTAAGAGGAGTTGCGTTCACAAAATTTCTACATAGTATATAGTGAAAAAATCAACAAAGGGCCATAATTCTGTTAAATTTGGTCGAAGCAAAAATTCCTTCCTTTACTGCCATCTACACATTAAGTTTGTTCATCCCTGTAAGTTTAAGCAAAATCTGCCATCCGGTTTAAGAGGAGTTGCGTTCACAAGATTTCGGGACGTACGGACGGACTGACGGACGGACAAGTGCAACGCTATATGCTCCCACATTGTGGGGGCATAAAAATGCACATCTAGACTTGGTACTCATTCTTTGTCTGAATAAATAGTCATGATAATGACCATTTTTGTTACAACCCCTCAATAAATGATGACTAAATGATCCCTATCCACATCTTAATAATTGTTGGGTTGACTTCAATATCACCTTGGGCTGTCCACTGTACAAGGTCAATGTCTGGTTGCATATTGAAGTCCCCTCCCACATGTACTTATGCGTTCTGTTCTGTTCAAGTATAGTAGGAAATTCTTGCAAGCTATTGTTCCCTATTAGTGTATGGATCCTGAAAAAGATCACTTACTACTTTTGGAGTTATGCTCTTGACAAAACTGTGACAAAAGCATGGAGGGAGACCATTTCTAATATTCCCTTCACCTCTGGCATGGGGATAAAATCAAATCATTACATCACCATTACTTATGTGTCCAGGTTATCTCTCCAAATAGTACATATAAATGAATACAATCACAAGTACATATAAATGAATACAATCACAAGTACATATAAATGAATACAATCACAAGTACATATAAATGAATACAATCACAAGTACATATAAATGAATACAATCACAAGTACATATAAATGAATACAATCAACACCATAACCTATTTTTCACATTATTAATTATTTAATAGAACTTCTTTTAAACAGATTCCTGGGACCTCTTGTAGTCAAACACACTGCCAGTTCCCACCATAGTCAATGTAGACTTTCCTGTATCTAACCTCGGTCTCTTTCTGTCTGGCTCATCCTCAGCTTGTTTATCTTTATAACCATATCCACCCCCACCAGGAGTTTGCAATAAAAATACATCCTGTAAATTCAATGTTTATATGACAAATCAATCTATTTCCCTTCTATTATTGTAAAAATCTTAACTGTAAGACATTTATTAATGTATTTGTTCAATTAAATGACAATGAATGTATTTATACACTGTATTGACGAAGAGAGTCACGTTGCCTGTAGAAGGTAAACTTTCCCATGGTGCCCAGCGTTTATGTTCATTCATTTAAACTTGCTACACATTTCTAAGCAGTCAACAAAATAGGTGATTTACTGACAAATAATGTTATGCATGAATTCTTACAAAGGAACAGACACTTGCTTTTTAGCTGCTAAAAGTAAACATTTTTGTTACTTTATTAAAAGAGATTATAGTGTAATAATACAAATTCTGACAATATGCACTACATAATAGCATAAATTTATGTTGGAGGTCCTGTAAAAGTTAAATGTAAACAGTTTAATATGGTTACTTTTAAATAAGACTTTTAAATAAATCATTATCATGATTGTTAATGGCATTTCCTAGTAAAATATTTTAGTGACTATAAGTCGCCACCTAGAATTTTCAACTTTGAGAATAAATGAAACATATGCAATTAGTTATTATTGCAAGCAATATGCATATGATTATTAGTGAAAATTACATTTGACTGATATAATGAATGATCAAATGTTTCCAATACATATAGTTAAATAAGGTTGACCTGGCTTTTAACCCCAGGTTACTTGAACCGTATTCAAACATGAGCTAAAAATCGTCATAACATTTCCAGGATATTTGGACAAAATAAGTAGCCCCTCGAGTGTAAACAAGGTTTGCCATTTTTGGGCTATGTAACCTTTTTTTTTTACCTTCAAATTTGAGCTAGAAATCATCAAAACGACCTTTTTGACCAATTTCAAGGATCTTTGGATTAAAACATTAGCCACTAGAGTGTTAACACGATTTTTCTATTTTTAGCTCCTGTGACCTATTTTTCTTCCAAAATGACCCATATTCGAACTTGTTTCAGAACTTGCTTAGACAAACATCTTGGCAAAGTTTGATAACAACTTCGGCAAAAAGTGACCACCAGAGTGTTAAAGAATGTAATGTGGACAGACAACGGACATTCAAAAATCCTTAAGCTCACTCCGAGTTTAAAACAAGAGGGCCATGGTGGCCCTGAGATCGCTCACTTGTACATAGCCCCCCCACCCACGGCAGGGCCAATTTTAACCCAAGGGCTTTTATTTCAACAAACTTGGTAGACACCCATAAGAAGATGTTTAATGCTAAACATCTATGCTCTAGCTCACTGGGTTTTTTAAAAGAAGACTTTTTAAGTTTTTACTATACACATATAGTTAAAAACAATGACACCCCTGGGGCGAGGCAAGTTTTGACCCCAGGGCTTTTATTTGAACAAACTTTGTAGACACTTACTAGAAAATGTTTCATGCTTAATATCTAAACTCTAGCTATTTGGGTTTTTTCAAAGAAGATTTTTAAGTTTTTGCTATACACATAAGGAAAATCGATGACCCCCAGGGCGGGGCCAATTTTGACCCCAGGGCTTTTATTTGAACAAACTTGGTAGACACCCACAAGAAAATGTTTCATGCTAAAGATCTCTGCTCTAGCTCAACAGGTTTTTAAAAGAAGTCTTTTTAAGTTTTTACTATAAAAACAATGACACCCCTGGGGCGGGGCCAGTTTTGACCCCAGGGCTTTTATTTGAACAAACTTTGTAGACACTTACTAGAAAATGTTTCATGCTTAATATCTTAACTCTAGCTATTTGGGTTTTTTAAAAGAAGATTTTTAAGTTTTTTCTATACACATAAGGAAAATCACGACCCCCAGGGCGGGGCCAATTTTGACCCCAGGGCTTTTATTTGAACAAACTTTGTAGACACTCACTAGATGATGTTTCATGCTTAATATCTAAACTTTAGCTATTTGGGTTTTTTCAAAGAAGATTTTTAAGTTTTTGCTATACACATATAAGAAAAATTAATGACCCCTGGGGCGGGGCCAATTTTGACCCCAGGGCTTTTATTTGAACAAACTTGGTAGACACCCATTAGAACATGTTCCATGCTAAATATCTTAGCTCTAGCTCTTTGAGTTCTTTAAAAGAAGATTTTTTAAAGTTTTTACTATATGCATATAGGGAAAATCAATGACACCCTGGGGCCGGGCCAATTTTGACCCCGGGGCTTTTATTTAAACAAACTTGGTAGACACTCATTAGAAGATGTTTCATGCTAAATATCTTAGCTCTAGCTCTTTGGGTTCTTTAAAAGAAGATTTTTTAAGTTTTTACTACATGCATATAGGGAAAATCAATGACCCCCTGGGGCGGGGCCAATTTTGACCCCAGGGCTTTTATTTGAACATACTTGGTAGACACTCACTAGAAGATGTTTCATACCAAATATCTAAGCTCTACCTCTTTGGGTTTTTTAAAAGAAGATATTTAAAGTTTTTTCTTTTGGTTGCTATGGCAACCAGAGTTCTGCATGGAATTAAATTCTTTGAACAACTTTTAAAGGTGACCACCAAAGGAACATTCCTGTGAAGTTTGGATGAAATTGGCTTAGTGGTTTATGAGGAGATGTCATTTAAAGTAAAAGTTTACGGACGGACGTACGACAGACGGACGATGGTCTGACGGACGCCGGACGAAAAGCGATCACAAAAGCTCACCCTGTCACTTTGTGACAGGTGGGCTAAAAACACCAGAGGGCCACAATTGTCTTATATATTGCTCACCTGATTATGCAGGCTTAATACCATTTTATTTGTGCTGTGTAACCTAGTTTTTGACCACAGACAACCCATATTTGAACTTGACCTAGAAATCTCCAAAACAACCTTTTTGACTTTCAGAATGTTTGAATCAAAACAGCAGCCTCTAGAGTGTTAACAGTGGTTTTCCATAGTTTGGCTGTGTTACCTTGTTTAAGACCCCAGGTGACACATATTTGAAGCTGACCTAGAAATCATCAGGACAATCTAAGTCTGACCAAATTCCAAGATATTCGAATCAAAACAGTAGCCTCTGAAGTGTAACTCTTTACATATTTGGGCTGTGCGATCTAATTTTTGACCCCAGATGACCCATATTATAAATTGACATAGAAATCACCAAAACAACCTTTTAACACCAATTTTCAGGAAATTTGGATCAAACAGTAGCCTATAGAATGTTAACAAGGTTTTTCCATATTTGATGTGTGACCTAGTTTTTGACCCCAGATGTCCCATATAATAACTTGACCTAGAAATCACCATAACAACATTTTTAACCAATTTTCAAGAAATTTGGATCAAAACAGTAACCTCTAGAGTGTTAACAAGGTTTTTTTTACAATTTGGGCTGTGTGACCAAGTTTTTACCCCTGATGACCCATATTAAAACTTTACCTAGAAATCATCTGAACAACCTTTCTGACCAATTTCCAGTATATCTGAATCAAATCAGTAGCCTCTCGAGTGTTAACAAGGTTTTTCAAAATTTCTGCTTTGTGACCTAATTTTTGAACTCGGGTAACCCATATTCAAGCTTAGATTTTCATCAGAGATGACCTATGACCAACTCATCCAAGCAATTACTTAAACAAGCATCCTGACCAAGTTTGATGATGATTGAGGCAAAAATGTGATCACTAGAGTGTTAATACGAACGACAGTCAGTCAAAGATCCTCAAATGTCACCCTGAGCTAGCTCATGTGATATAAAAAAATATTTGTTAATTACAGATAAAAATTTTATTTGGTTCATGTCCTCTGAAAAGACTGGAAATTTTAATGTATTTTTTCTGAATATATGCTTGAAATATATAATAAAAGAATTAATCCCACCAGCACTTTGACCTGTGAAAGCTGGACAAGATTTTTTTTTATTTCATAGCTCTGGTGGCCCTTTTGTTCAGCAAAGCCAAATGTGCCGGCAATGTGCGCAACTAGCACTGATCACTTACAAAATGGTACTGATGTGCATTTTCTTTTGATTATTTTATTCATTTTTAGTCACACACGGCTTAAAAACAAACACACAAGTAAAACAGAATGAAAATCAAAGAAAATATACCATTACCTATTGTTCTCCTTGTCACATAAGTACCTCTGTGTCTGTACGGACAGACAGACAGACAGACAGTTAAAGCAAAATCAATATGTCTTCGGAGACATAAATATCAATATATAATATAATATATAAAATATACCCCAGCACTACAGTCTACAGATGTCTTGCCACACAAATTCACTATCCTGCCATCTTTGTATATCATCAGGTTTAATCCCTTTTCCCCAGCATGTCCACCTGTTTAATAAGGAACATTATTATATCAAAATAGACTTGTACATCATTATAGCTTACCAATATTATAATACATACTGCAAATTCTTAAGAAAAGTCAGAAGCATCAAGGGCATAGTGCCCATTATGCACAATATGCACTTGCGTGAAGTTAAAAAAAATAAAATTGAGAAAATCTAAGTTTTAATGATTTTATTGCTATAGATCTACATCTCCATTTCTGTTTACAAAATATTTCTTTGGTTCATACTGTTTAGTTTATGACGTAATATGTACGAGTGTAAACTATGATTGCGTCACTCTCGATCATATGACGTTTCTAGTAATTATTGTAATCTATGTGCAATAGGAATGTAAGTTTCTCTTAAAACTGAAGTATTTACAAACTAAATGCACAGAGATAAATGTAAAGCTTAGCATACATTTATCTACATGGACAATAAGAAATCTCATGTCTTAAACTAGGATCATAATGACTTATTGTTGGTTTAACACTCAGAAAAAAAAAGATCATTAAGACTTTTCACACAATTTTTTTATGGTTTGATATCATAAATATGATGCTCAAATAAAGATTTATCAATATTGTAAGTTCCAAAAAAGCATTATTTATAAAGATATTACCGAATTTAATATTTCATGTAAATAAAGGATGGTAAATAAAAATTTATTTCTTTAAAGTTACATTTAATAAATTTCATAAAAAACTAAATAGCGACATTTCATTAATAAATTGGGTTTTATATCGACTCCAGGTCTTATTTTGGTGTCCAAACAACCAACATGAGTTTTATTAGCATGAAAATAGGTAACCTCATTGTGGCGAAATGGGAAGTACAATTTCTGTTTGCATGAAAAACTCCGCCTTCGGATCATCGTACATCAATATTAAATCAACAAACATGACTATAAGTGGCAGTCCTAATTTAACGGTATATTTCCGCATTGTAACGGATGTTTTCATACAAATTTAATCTTTTTACGAGATGATTACTTTTACTGAACCCCAGGTTTAGAGCACCGTGAAACTTAAACGGTAAAACTGTGTTTTGCACAAGAAAATATCACATTTGCTGTGTTCCGGATAGCAACTATAAAACTGTGACGTAGCGCATACACGAGCTTATAGTCTTCATTTGCATGTTAAAATTCGTATACGAACTTTAGTGTTACCGTGGGGTTTCCCGTTTAAAATCCTAATTTATGAACAATATTTGATGAGATTTACAACAATACTATTAAACAGGTTAATGAAACTGTAGAATGTTTGATTTTTAGGCCGACGGCAAAATATTTTTACATATTTATTTAATGTTACTTTAAAGTCTAAGTCAATTTTTCAATAAGAAATGAATGCATATATTTTAATGATTACTTATAATGTGCACAAATATTTTCAGTACATATTTTATATATTCTTTGATGTTTGAAAATTGTTTTATTATTTTTAAGCTTAAACAACAACAACAACAATGGTAACAACCTCAATTACAACATACTGGATCTTTCAACATTTAACCAATCCTGTCTAGATCGTTTCCTTTGGAATAGCTCTATTTTAAAACGACCTAAAAATCTTTAAAGTTCTAGATCTAGATTTTAGTCATCAACGCGGGCAACATTTAATTTTTGGTGTGTTGTTGAGTTAGAACTTTGTCAAAATGAAAAGAAACATCTGCCAAATTCCAGGACAAGCGACTCTGTTTAAGGTGCTAAAACAGGACCCCATTCAAGTCGAAAATGAATCTGACCAAGCAGAAACAAAACAGAATTCACAAGACCTGGCATGTGACCCTCCTGTGATCAGCAAATCAGACAACTATGTCACTCCTCCTTCTCCCCCTTCTCCGCCCACCTCCTCCTCTTTGTCTCCCACTGCTTCTTTTTCTGGCCCCTCTAGAACCGTTACAAGCTCCCTTGGACCAAGATTCCTGGATATCGGAAGTATTGATATCAAAAGTCGACTAAGAATGCCAGATGCTAAAAAATATGCTGTCCTCACCAAACGGTTCGAGCCACATAGAGGTTGGGTTTCACTTCTCAGAGAACTCGGAAAAAAGGCAACAAGTAGGCAAGTGCCGGACTTTTTGTTTGAGCATGAGAAGCACCCCTACTTAAGGTACAGCCCTTTACTTTATGGGGTATTTTGTGCTCCGTGTTTTGCCTTTAATGCGGCTGAAAATGTGCTTGTTGCTCATCGGTTGATTGACTGGAGCAACACAAGAAAAGTTGTTGATGGGCACACACACTCGAAAGAACTCATGAATTCCATCACAAGAGCCGACCACTTTGTACGCATCTGCAGGAAGGAAGAGCAGTATGTGGTCGAGTTCGGATCAACAGCCTACCGGCAGAAAGTACAAGGAACAGGGAGTCCTTAGCAGCCATCATTGAGGCCATAATTCTTTGTGGACAACAAAATATATCTATGAGTAAGTTTGTTACTTTCTCATCACCGCCTGAGGAGACCTATGGAGTGGTCGAAACAGTTTCAATGACCATTAGACCATTTACTCTCTCGTTTTTCCCCTACTTTCTTACGATGGAATAGAAGTGTTCTCCAAGCATAATTTTCTTGATTTCAATACTCGTACATTTGGAAATAATATATAAGATAAATGAAACTGAAGGCTTAAGAGAAAAGCCTTTCTTACGAAACTGATTTGATTAGAAATGCTAAAAAACTTGTTACAGTCAGGACTCACTACAACGGAATCCATTATACTGACAAATTCAAATAACGACAGTGAATTGGTGGGAACCGATTTTTTTCAACGTTATTATAATCCTTTATAATGGAAAATTCGTATTCCGACTCCGACACAATAAAATTGGAAACCAAACGTGTTATTTTCTTTACAATCAGTACCTGTTAAACTGACACTTGTCAGTCAAGCGTGCGTATTATTTAGTCGTGATCAAAAGCCGCAAGGTGTTAAAACAGGTATTGCAGCTTGGTCAGTTGATTGTTACACCTTATTACAATACCAACGTGTTGTTGTAAGCAGAATTTTGTTACACTTGCAAACTTAGGACAACAGTGTGCAATCAATTTTTAAAGGTTTAACTTTTAAAAGTCCTATCATTGTATGTGCTTTTTATTTTATAAAGTGTTATCATTTTCATATCAATCTTTAATTATATTAAGTTATTATCATTTTAATAAAGTTGTAATGTGTATTATAAAGTGAACACATACACAAAAAAAATCTTTTTCATTATACATTTAGATGTTTATTATAGATCTAAATACATAATGTTCAGATACCAGTGAATAAGCATATCATTACATGATGAATGATGAAATTCAATATACTGACAAATTCGATATACTGACATATCCTTTGGGAACCAACAGTGTCGTTGTAATGAGTCCTGACTGTATCTGGTTTATTGCGTTTTACAATTGAACGGGCATTCATACATAAACCAATTATTATGATCTGCATCCTCAGTAAAACTTCACATGGAAAAAAATGCTGTGTATGTTTATATGCATGCGTAAAATAAGATAACTACAAGGCGAACACTGCCTTTTTTCTTCACAAACTGTTTGAAGTTATAACGAAATGAGTTAAAAAGTAAAACGAGCTGCTAAATGTTTATCAATTTTCTGGAAAAAATGACTTGAAAATGCTTCATGCTTTACGTGCAAAAGGTGCTTCCAGACATGCCAGAGCCCACCATTTAACATCTAATTTTTCAAAAAAATTTCTAGGGAGACCCCCCGGACCCCCAACAGCGGGATGGGGTACCCCTTCCGCACACTCCCCGCTCAGCACTTCGTGCCTCGCTTTGCGTATAATTTTTCAAGCCCTAGCTATGCCCCTGAGCATGAATCACAAAAACACACTATTTCTTAATTTAATGTTTATGAGTTTTCTTCCAAATAAAAATGGGTCAAAGACAGAAAAGGCCAGGTTGCATTTGTACACCAAATATCATGAGGCTGAAATCGAATCCCACAGTATGGGACCATGTGTCAATGCTGTATGCCAAATATCAAGATGCTGTGATAAGTAGTTGTTGAGAAAACTGTTACGAAAAATTCCTACCATTGATCATTAATGTTGAAAATTTAACTAAGTAGGTAAACAGGAAGAGGATGAGCTACAGACCTGAAATCGAATCCCAAGGTATGGGACCATGTGTCAATGCTGTTTACGAAATAAAATATTAAGAGGCTGTGATAAGTAGTTGCTGAGAAAACTGTTACGAAAATATTTTCCCATAATATGTACATATAGTAAAACAAGCAATTATCATAGTATTGCAAGCAATCCATAAGTCCCCTACCAATTAGAACCCCAGCAACATTCTGATGGGCCATTGGCCATTCAATTTTACCAGTGAATAAATGACATGATCAATGAACTTAAATCTTTTGAGTTCTAAGTTTGTCTATATCACAGTAATGTGTTCAGTTTCCCTGCCTAGTAAGGAAATTATGTTTACACAACCTTGTCATATTATTACGATGTGGGATTTTAAAGTAAATCCTATAAGGAATGAAGACGTTGGAGTGAAAAATACCAATTTCTCAAAAAAAATCTAAGTTCAAGGGGGACATAATTCTGGAAATAGTCTTGCTAGAGTATTTAACCTTCTCAAAAATGTTGAGTGATAATAAGAAACATATATATGAAGTTTGAAGTAGATACATTAGGAAATAAAGAAGTTATTTAAGTTCAAGGGAGGTAATACTGATAATTTTTGTGCTAGAGTTGTAAACCTTGTCACATATGATGTGGTTGATGACCAGAAACTTATATTTAAAGTTTGAAGTAAACACCTTAAGAAATAAAGAACTTAAAGTGAAAAAGCTGAAAAATTTAAATCAGAAATCTTGAAATTCAGGCTAATTGTTGCCATAGCAACCAGAATTTTCAAAATAGAAAGAAAAGAAAAATATGTGCATAGTCTCTAGACTGCCATCTACCCATATTTCAAGTTTCATAAAAATATTTTCAGTATTTTTTGAGTTACCTGTTAAATTTGCCATATTTTCAGACTATTTGTTGCCATAGCAACCAGAATTTTCAACACAGGAAGAAGAAAAAAGACATGCATAATCTCCATACTGCGATCTATCCATATATCAAGTTTCATAAAAATATTTTCAGTACTTTTTGCATTATCGCGGAATCCAGTTTTGTGGACGGACGGACTGACAGACAGACGGACGGACGGATGAACGGCAGTTTTCACAGGACAGTAATTATGTGGCTACTCTATTGTTCTCTCTATTGTTCTTTTTAGCCACCCAAAAGAAAATAGCCACATAAAAGCACTACGGAATGAATGACATCAAAGAGAAAGAACAGTTACCTATTGTCCCTCTAGCCACATAATTACTCTCCTGTGAGTGCGGACAGACAGACAGACAGTAAACCTAAAGTCCCCTCCGGTTAAACCCGTAAGGGACTAAAAACAAAGACCCCCGGGGAGGGGCCAATTTTGACCCCACGGCTATAATTTGAACAATCTCCGTAGAGGTCTACCAGACAATGCCTTATGCAAAATATCTATGCTCTAGGCCTTTTGGGTCTTTACAAGAAGATTTTTTTAAATTTATTCTTATAATTCCTTTTGGTTTCTGCATGGAATGAAATTTTCTTTGGACAACTTTGGAAGCCCTTCACCCAAGGATTAATCCTGCCAAGTTTGGTTGAAATTGGACTAGCGGTTTTTCACAAGAAGATTTTTTAAGTTCACTATATAATCTATAGAGCACACATACAAACACACACACAGGTGAATCACTATATGCCACGGTGGCATAAAAATTACACAAAATGAAGACATTTAAATGCTTTTCACTCAAAACAGGCTAAGAAAAGCATAAAAATACGATTTTCAATTTATTTAAGTATATGTCTTAACTATTTTTCATATATTTCTGTTTAAAGTGCCCCAGCTCATGCATGTATGTAAGAAATTCAAATGTTATGTTTTTAGGCTTTTAAACCTCAGTGGAGTCCCTTTAATGTGAGAAGAAAGGATGGACAGAGACTATTACCGTATGAAGTTATATATTTCTTGTTAGATTTATGTATTAAGCACTTCTTAATCTATGAAAAAGCCTGAAAACAATATCAGTTTATCTTTTATGAACATATATTCAAAATTATTCACCATTTAGACCATATGGACTGAAAACCCTCCTTTCTGTGAGCACTGAGAGAGTGAGAGATTTCCGCCACAAGTATTCTCTTACGACCCCATCTCCGCCATGGTACATGCCACGCCCTCCTGTGTTTGGTTTAAGATGAAACCGTTTAAGAACCACAGGGTATCTGTCAAAAGAAGAAGTTCAAAATTTCTTTTTTTTCTTTTTATGTTTATTAACTCAAATATGATATTTTGAAAAATAAAATCAGGAAATTAACTAATACTAAAAATAATCAGTTGTACTAGGTCAATTGAGACTAGATGGAAATAACAATGGTGATTATAACACAGTTCAATTTGTTAGGTTTAATATTTGGTGTTGATTTAGAAAAAATGGTTGACTTAAATTATAATGAACGAGAGGGCCATGATGGCCCTGAGGTCGCTCACCTGTATATAGGCCCCCGGAGCCGGGCCAGTTTAAACCCCAGGGCTTTTATTTGAACAAACTTGGAAGACGCCCATAAGAAGATGTTTCATGATGTTAAGTTTTTACTACAAACATATAATGAAAAACAATGATCTGCCCCCCACCCCCGGCAGGGCCAATTTTAACCCAAGGGCTTTTATTTGAACAAACATGGTAGACACCCAGAAGAAGATGTTTCATGCTAAACATCTAAGCTGTAGCTCATTGGGTTTTTTAAAAGAAGATTTTTTAAGTTTTTACTATACACATATAGTTAAAAACAATGACACCCCTGGGGCGGGGCCAGTTTTGACCCCAGGGCTTTTATTTGAACAAACTTTGTAGACACTTACTAGAACATGTTTCATGCTTAATATCTAAACTCTAGCTATTTGGGTTTTTTCAAAGAAGATTTTTAAGTTTTTGCTTATATACACATATAAGGAAAATCAATGACCCCCGGGGCAGGGCCAATTTTGACCCCAGGGCTTTAATCTGAACAAACTTTGTAGACACTCACTAGAAGATGTTTCATGCTTAATATCTAAACTCTAGCTATTAAGGTTTTTTCAAAGAAGATTTTTTAAGTTTTTGCTATACACATATAAGGAAAATCAATGACCCCCTGGGTGGGGCCAATTTTGACCCCAGGGCTTTTATTTGAACAAACTTAGTAGACACCCATTAGAACAAGTTTCATGCTAAAGATCTTAGCTCTAGCTCTTTGAGTTCTTTAAAAGAAGATTTTTTAAGATTTTACTATATGCATATAGGGAAAATCAATGACCCCCTGGGGCGGGGCCAATTTTGACCCCAGGGCTTTTATTTGAACAAACTTGGTAGACACTCATTAGAAGATGTTTCATGCTAAATATCTTAGCTCTAGCTCTTTTGGTTCTTTAAAAGAAGATTTTTTAAGTTTTTACTATATGCATATAGGGAAAATCAATGACCCCCTGGGGCGGGGCCAATTTTGACCCCAGGGCTTTTATTTGAACAAACTTTGTAGACACTCACTAGAAGATAGTTCATGCCAAATATCTAAGCTCTAGCTCTTTGGGTTTATTAAAAGAAGATATTTAAAGATTTTTCTTTCGGTTGCCATGGCAACCAGAGTTCTGCATGGAATTAAATTCTTTGAACAACTTTTAAAGGTGACCACCAAAGGAACATTCCTGTGAAGTTTGGATGAAATTGGCTTAGTGGTTTATGAGAAGATGTCATTTAAAGTAAAAGTTTATGGATGACGGACGGACGACGGACGAAAAGTGATCACAAAAGCTCACCATGTCACTTTGTGACAGGTGAGCTAAAAACTTCAACAAGAGCACCGCTAGACGGAGCATTATATGCCCGAAAGTGTTTTTTTTTTTTTTAGTAAGGATGAAGCATTTGTAAGACATGGGAATTAGCTGTTCATCCTATAAAATTTTACAGCTGTAGGTTGATTAATACTTAAGTTATTAATAATGACTTTGACCTTGTGACCACAAAATCAATAGGGGTCTTCTACCTTATATGGACAATCATCCTAAGAAGTTTGAATATTGTGGGCCAATTGGAACTTTAATTAAGCTCTAGAAACTGTTTTCAGTATTAAGGTAAAAGTGACTTTGACCTTTGACCTTGTTACTCCAAAATCAATAGGGGTCTTGTCTTCTACCACATATGGACAATCATCCTATGAAGTTTGAATATAGTGGGCCAAATGGAACTTACGTTATGCTCCGGAAACTGTTTTTGGTTTTAAGGTAATTGTGACATTGACCTTTGACCAAGTGACCCCAAAATCAATAGGGGTCTTGTCTTCTACCACATATGGACAATCATCCTATGAAGTTTGAACATTGTGGGTCGAATGGAACTTAAGTTATGCTCCGGAAACTGTTATCAGTTTTAAGGTAATAGTGACCTTGACCTTTTGACCCCAAAATCAATAGGGGTCTTCTACCCAATATGGACAATCATCCTATGAAGTTTGAACATTGTGTGCTTGATACAGTTACCTCCTCCTGTTTACAGGTTGGGGTCATGATGGTGAACAAGTGTGCAAAGTTTCAAAGCCATATGTCAATGGACTTTGAAAATATTTGAACTATTACAAAAACTTTAACGTAAATTCTAAGTCGAAAAAGGGGTATAATCCTGTCAAAATGCTTGATAGAGTTACCTCCTTCTGTCTACAGGTCTGGGGTCATGATGGTGAACAAGTGTGCAAAGTTTCAAAGCCATATGTCAATGGACTTTGAAAATATTTGAACTATTACAAAAACTTTAACATAAGTGGTTACGCCGACGCTCGGGTGACTACAATAGCTCTACTTATTCTTATCGAATAGTCGAGCTAAAAAGAATGATCCAATTCAGTATCAAAATCAATGAAATGTTACTCAAGGTAACAGTAAGTGGACAAATTGCAGTCGTTTTGAACTAATGTGTATTTGATGCACCCTTTGTTGTTCTTCCATAAATTCCTTAAAATTGTGGTCTGAAAATGTGTATTCAACAAAAAATGTTGAATAAACTATCCATCTTAGGTTGAAGATTATGTCGGTATATGTGCAACAATTGTGCTTAAAAAATTGGAAAATGTGCTTAAATAGTTGAATTTTGGCATTAGATGTCTGTACAAACCCTGACTATAAATAGTATAATACCAGAAATTCAAAAGCAACAAAATATTATGCCTAGATATTATAATAAATTCTTCTTTTTTATTACCTCCCTTTACATTTATAACATCAATACTCACACAAACATCCATCACAAAACTGATGATTCTACTTTAACAAAGTGATGATACATGCTAAAAATCGATGGTCTGCATGTTGTATGTTGGAGGAAAAAACTTTTAAAACATGTATACTATATAAATCTGTGTACATGTTAACTGTGCCAGACCTACCCATCACCTCTTCAACCCACTGGACACAGCTTTTTTTTAATATCAGTGAAATGATTTTTGGAACAATGGCAGGGTTCTTCTATGAAATGATTCATGCCAAATAACTGAGATCTTTACATAAGAATACATATATGTAAAAAGTTTTTCTCTCTATGTGGCCCCTGGGGCAGGACCTGTATTGACCATAGGAGCATGATTTATATAAATTTTGTAGATGTCAACAAGGGATGTTTCATGCAAAATATATAAGCTTAAGGACATTTTCGGGAGTTTTCATATAGACATATAGGCAAAATTAAAACTGTTCTATAGAATTTCTTTGAACTTGGCATGTTATGTTAGAATATGATAACAGAAACATTTTAAGCGAAAAAAAAATGTGTCACCGTTCTCGTTGAACATAAATCAGTCTTTTAATTGGAGAAAGCACTCTGCCCACAATAAAGCAAGGCAGTATTCACGTCCAAAATTTGATAAATTACCTTAAAAATTTGACATTTCATATGCCGCATTTACAACCTATTGTTATTTAGTGAAATTAAATATCTCAAGTAACATCTGTTTCAATTGTAAATAATTAAATCATATAAACCTATGAAAGCACCTCAATTATTATAATTTTAACAGAAAAACAAGAAGTGCCGTAATGCGACGAAAACCAGGTTTTCAACGACCAAGTTTTGATGTGACAGCAATCAATAGGTCCAAGTGCACTAAAGTTATTGAGTAGAAGCTGAAAATTCTATTGTAAGCAAATGACCTTGACCTTGCTCCCAGATATCTAAGTGACAATCCAAAGCTGCCACACAGCAAGTTTGGTGTCAAAATGTCAAAGCAAACTCAAGTTGTTACATGAAAACTGAATACATTAAACCTTGATCACATACACTTGGGCAGCAATCCAAAGCTGCCACCTGCTATTAACTACCCATACATCAAGTTTGGTGTCAATAGGCCAAAGCAAACTCAAGTTATTGAGCGGAAACTGAGTTTCTATTTTGAGTAACAGTGACCTTGACCACTGACACCTGGGTAGCAATCCCAAGCTGCCTCTTGATATCAGCTATCCATACACCAAGTTTGGTGTCAATGTGCCAAAGCAAACTCAAGTTATTGAGCTGAAACTGAATTTCTATTTTTTAGTAACAGTGACCTTGACCTTAATCACAGACAGCTGGGTAGCAATCCCAAGCTGCCTCTTGATATGAGCTACCCATACAACAAGTTTGGTGTAAATAGGTGAAAGCAAACTCAAGTTTTTGAGCGGAAACTGAATTTCTATTTTTAGTTACAGAGACCTTGAACTTGATCACAGACACCTGGATAGCAATCTCAAGCTTCCTCTTGATATAAGCTACCTACACATCAAGTTTGTTGTCAATAGGCCAAAGCAAACTAAAGTTATTGAGCAGAAACCAAAAGTTGACGCTTGCCCGCCCGCCGCCAAGGCTAACCCGGTTTTCTTAAAAATTTAAAGATATAGTTTGTAAAAAAACATTAAAAAGTAATAGAGTTTGGAACTAAAGGGAGGTTAAAATACATACATATATATATATATATATATTCATATAAAAATCGCACGAAAAATCGGCATGCCGCAGCCGGGACTCGAACCACGGGTCTCTGGATTGCCGGTCCAGTATGCTAACCACTACACCACAGCAGCCGTTGCTTTTTCTTCATGCTAATTGGCCTTATATATTTAAGTTATTTTTAACTTTATTGTGACGTCATCACTTTTATTACCATAACATCTAAGTGTGACCTTGACCTTGGAGGTAGGGACATAGGTGTTACGCATGACATATCAT